AAGTCCCATAATGTTTTCTCAATTTTTCTTTATAGGACACTCACACATCTTACTAAACGAGGAAATTCTCTCACGCATCTTACTACACGAGGAAATTCTCTCACACATCTTACTACACAAGGAAATTAGCCCACATATCTTACTACACTCACTCATCTTACTACACCAGGAAATTCTCTCACACATCTTACTACACGAGGAAATTCGCTCACACATCTTACTACACTGACACATCTTACTACACGAGGAAATTCTCTCACACATCTTACTATATTCACACATCTTACTACATGAGGAAATTCTTTCACACAACTATGCTAGAACATTCGGGGCCTCAACGGATTAGAAGGAAAAAAAAGATGTCTTGTTTTTTGTTAGGCAGGAAAGCCAAACATTTTGATTATACATGAATCAAAGATGGAGGCTCCGAATTTCTTGTCTGCTAAATTAGTTTGGGGAAGGACACCAATAGACTTTGTAGGTTTTGATTCTAATGGCTTATTAGGTAGTTTGTAGGTCATATGGGACCCAAATGTGGTTAAAAAAGATGATTGTGTTTTAAATGAAAGACTTATCTCCAATTTCTAGCCCTATGGATGGTTTTAAATGGTGTTTAACAAATGCATATGGTCCCAACCGTCCCAATGAAAGAACATAATTTTTTGATGAACTGAATGCTTTGACCAATTTCGTTAATGTGCCATGGTATATTGGAGGTGATTTCAATGTGATTCAATGACCTAGTGAATCCTCAGTTAATCCTAGGATCTCCCCTTATATGCGTATATTTAATTTTTGATTCAGAATAATGAACTTCTGGACATTCCTTCATTTGGGGCTGCCTATACCTGTTTCAGACCCTACCCTTACCCATTTGGATGGGTTCTTGATGATCAACTCCTTTCTTAATAAGTTTCCAAATCTTTATGTTAATGCTTTAGTGAAATTTGCCTCCGATCATGTTCATCTCCTGCTGAATTCGGTGGGTATGAAGTTTGACCTATCACCTTTTAGAATGGAGCTAAATTGGCTATCAGACATAAGCTTTATTAAGTTGGAGGAAGACTTTTGGCAAAATACCAAGATAGAAGGTTGGGTGGGTCATCAGTTTACTACTAAATAGAAAATGCTGAAGAAAGATATTTATAAATCAAAAAAATAATCTTGAGATAACCTACAGTCAAAAATTGTAGTGACAAAAAAATTATTGAAGAGATTGATGAAATCCAATTTATGGGAGGATCAGTGCCACCAGAACAAAAGAGGGAAATAAACAACTCTCTTGCTTCCTTGCATGACCTTTTGAAATTGGAAGAAGTGTATTGGAGGCAAAGATCTAGAGAGAAGGAGATAGAAACACTAAATTCTTTCATATTATTGCTAATACTAGAAAAAGGAGCAACTCCATTAGTAAAATGAAAATGAGAGATGTGGAGCTTACAAAACCAGTTAGTATTGAAATTAGTTTAGGTAATCATTTCAAAGAATTTTTTACAGGGAAAGAAAAAATCATTTAGTCTTGAGAATGTCATCTTCGATATATTGCTTTCAGAAAGGGTTTATGGTTAGAAAGGCCTTTCGAAATGAATGAGATAAAATGTGTTGTTTCCTCCTTTGGGAGGGATAAGGCACCGGGGCTAGACGGTTTTCCTTTAGCCTTTTTTCAAACCTTTTGGGAGCTTATAAAGGATGATCTTTTTTTTACCCATGGATGGATTTTATCATAGAGGTAAAATCTCAACAACATTGAATTCTACCTTTATTGATTTAATTCCCAAAAAATCTAGTAGAGAGAGTGTGAATGACGTAATGCCTATTAGCCTACTGGGGAGTGTCTGTAAAATTATTGTAAAGATTTGGTAAATAGATTGAAAGAAGTAATGCATCTGGTTATGAAAGGTCCTCAATTTGCTTTCTTCCAAGACAGCATATTATAGACAGTATCTTAATGGCACAAGAATGCATACACTCGGGGTTGAAAGAGCAAAAATCAAGTCTTATATGTAAAATAGATTTTAAAAAGGCATATGACAAAGTGGATTGACATGTTCTACATGAAATTTTAGGGAAGATAGGTTTTAGATCATGTTGGAGAGTGTTGATCCAGGGATGTCTGAAGTCAACTCATTTCTCCGTCATTTCAATAGAAAATCTTGTGCTTATTTTAAAGCATCAAAAGGCACTCGGCAAGGAGATCTTTTGTCCCCATACTTATATACTATTGTAGTTGAAAGTTTTAATACTATGCTGAATTATGTGGTGAGTAGAGGCCTTATCTCTAGATGTAATGTTGGTAGACTAACAATCCCTCATTTACGGTATGCAAATGATATCATTATCTTTTGTAGCCTAGGGAAACAATAAGTAAGGAATTTGTGGGTATTTTTAAAGTGTATGGAAATAGCAACGGGGTTTCAAAGTTAATTTAGAACAGACAAAATTGATTGGGGTAGAGTTTCAGATAACGTGGTTACATCTTGGGTAGAAATTCTTGGATCTGAGATTGGCAAGTTTCCTTGCAAATATTTGGGTATTCCTTTATTTGGAAGAAACCAATCAGCAGCTATTTGGGATCCTATTATTGAAAGACTAAATAAGAAACTGGATCTATGAAAGTCTAAAGTGTTGTCGTTTGGAGGAAAATCTACTCTGATTAACTCTACTTTGTCCAACTTACCCATATATTTTATATCCATTTTCAGAATCCAAAGCAGGTGGTGAAGACTTTGAAAGACATTATGAAATCTATTTTTGTGGGGCAATATAAGAATGGGAAAAAAACTGAAGCTCGTGAATTGGGAAAAGGTATGCTCTTACCAGAGAGGTGGGGATCTAGGAGTTAAAAAGCTCAAATTGATGAATACTAGTTTATTGACTAAGTGGTGGCAGTGCTTCCAAAATCAACAGGATAGCTTATGGGGAGAGGTGTTAAAAGAAAAATATGGAGTAGATGTATTGACTGGCCTCATTAAAAGTCCAAGATCTAAAGTTAGATTTTCAAGTATTTAGAAATGAATTGATACGTGTCAATCATTATATCTTAGTCATTGTCGCAAAGTGGTTTGTCTAAAATTGATCCTCTCTCAATGGATGAACCTTGGTTTGTCGAAAATTGGCACCATACTATGGAGAGAATTATGGGTGAGCACTATTTGGAATATTTGGAGAGAGAGAGAGAAATAGAAGAACATTTTTGAAGGGACACAAAGAAAGATTGAAGTTTTGAAGTCCATCACCTTAGCAACAACAACTGAATGGTTTTCAACAAATAATGATTGTAAGTTTATCTTAAAATCATAGATTTATGAAAACTCATCTAAAGTTGTTATACTTAATAATGACAGCTTAACTCAAAATGCTATTTGGATGCCTCATCATGAAACTTGCTTAAAACTCAACTTCGATGGAAGCTCCATTGGAAACCCAGAGCCCACAGGTTATGGTCGTACCATTAGAGATCACATGGGTAATTATAAATTCACCTACTTGGGATCATGTAGACATACAACAATGAATGAAGCTGAGGCACGAGCTCTTTTAGAGGGTTTAAAGATAATAAAGGACTTCAAGGGCCAAAAGATGATTGAATGTGACTCAAGCAATGCCATGGCTTGGGCAAAAGAAAAAATGAAGCCACTTTGGAGATTATGCAACATTTTCAAGGAATTTTTTTTCATTTTAAGTAGTTGTTCTTTTGAGTTATCTCATTATTTTAGAAATGCTAATATAGAAGTTGATGCTTAAGCAAATGGTGGCTCGCACCAACACTCATTGGTGGTTGGATCCTTTTCTTCTTGAACCTCCTTGTAATCATTCATGGATGAATGAAATTCATAATAACTGAATTCGAAAAAAGAGGAAATTCTCTTATGTAAAAATATTTGTCAGGAAATATTTTAAGGCGATACAATTGTGCCCCAAGTATGAGCTGTTCACCACGAGAATAGTAGTTTTACTAGTTATGTAGGATATTGTGAATCATTCATTTGAGGAAATTTCTTATGTTAAATTGACATTTATTGTTTTTGAAGATAAAAATTTCATAATTTAAATAAAAGTAAAATTTACAAATTAAAGCCTATAATAGGCCATTCACCGGAAAAAAAACTGAAAAAATTCAATTATTTATCATGGTATAGTTAATTATAAAATACAAAATTACAACAAAAATACAAAATAAATATAAATTTCATAAAACTAGAGCTTCGTGCTAACACATGCCATTAATTAGTTTATTGCATTTTGTTATCATCTGATATTCTAAAAACAAGTAAACCGATATATAAAAAAGCAATCTATTATCATAAATATATAATTTTTCTAAATTCTATGTAAACATACAGAATTACACTTTCTAATAATCATATAGCATGTTTTAAGTTCATGCAAAGTTTCACAAGAAACTAGCTTGCGATATTCGACCTAAACTTCTTAACCAAATTTTTACAAGAAATTAAGAAGGTAATCATCTTTTAATTTTGGGTGCAGTTGGCAAACTGTAGAAGTAAGGTGTAGCTTCAAATTTTATTATGTTATATAATTTTGATGTAAAATGTTCTTAGGATTATCTCAAAATCTATTTTTATATTTAATTATAAAATTTTAAATTTAAAAAATGATTAAAATCAAGTAGATCTATAAGCATATAAAAATTTTGAAAATAGATAATGTAGATAATATGTTGTAAAATGCATTATTTTTTAAGCTTAAAATATTTTTATTTTTAATAAAAAAAAACTCATTTTTCGTAAAACCTTTTTATTTTCCATGGTCATAAGTCTCGACGTCCAGATGATCAATCAAAAAGTTTTTCAACATTAAAACTACCTTTCCCAAAAGATTTTTGAGGTGCATCCGTAATTCTGCATTATAAGGGTGCATACTTAAAACTTTTCCCTTTCATTTTTACTCCAGAATATTCCTGGAAAATCCTTTCTCAAATAATTTGAGCGAACCCGTCATTGCTAACAAATATGTGGGTAATTTCATCTCTCTCTCTCTCTGTTCTTTTATCTCATTGAGAAAAAAAAAGAAGCGAGACGGAGAGAAATCACCGCCAAAAAAAAAATCCTTAGGATATTTCTTCAATGTCTGCGCGCCATTGAACATTTACCTGCTTCAGAAAATCTTATATTTATATGCTCCCTCCCGTCAAAACACATTTAAGCCGTTCCCTTTGAATTTTATTTTAACGCATAGCCGCTCTATTTTTTACAACCATTTTTTGCTATTTTACGAGAAATTTACTTCAATTTGCCATGAAAGGATTCATGGCCTTGGTTTCTCTAGTGTTTTCCGCGCTTTTTGTGATATGGTGAAGTCGAGGAGTGGTGATGGCGATCACTGGTTGGGGAATAACCTATAAAAACATTTCTCCTTTTCGCCCCCCTTTGTTCTGCTGTGTTCGCAAGGTTTGCTAGGAGAGGAAACCCTAATTATCTGAGCTCGAGCTTTGTTTGTTTATTGGTTGCATTTCATGGCTTGTACTATTTGTTTAGTTAAGGTTTCATCGAATTTTTTGGTTTTATAGGTCAGATACAGTGTGCTAACTGAGAGGATAGCTGACAACGAAGCTTCCATAAAAGAAGAATGCCAGGATGCCAATGGAAAAGGTGTGGTTTTCTATTCCAATTTTTTTCTTTTATTTTAATTTTTATGGTCAAGTGACGTTGCTTTTCGTGAGCGAAATTTTTTTTTTAGTGTTCATGATTAAATGAACAGTGCATTTTGCGGTTTTAGCTGCCATTTATTCGATTTTCTTGATTCTGGTTTATTGACTGAGGTTTTGGTAGCTATGCATTTAGTTGTTTTTTGCTGTGGTTTATTGAGTCAGATTCTTAAGCCATATAAATCGTGGTCATTGTGCACTCTGTTAGTTCTATTGATTTCGAAGTTATTTGAAAATTATAAGCACTGTGAATCTTACCTTTATTTATGTTTATCACTTCGGAAATGTTATGAAATTACACCAGAATGATTGTTTAGTTTTGCCATTGTATATAGATACTTAAAAGCCATTGAGTTAGGAAATTCAGTAAGAATAATCACCTTAATTGATCATGAATTTTCCCATCAATGGCATGTGAGATACTTAAGAAGCATCAAATCAGGAAATTGAGGAAGAATATTCAAATTAATTGATCATTGAATTTTCTCATCAATGGAATGTGAAATTTAGATTTTTGGCTTTAGCTTAGAGCATGCATTTGTTTAGGCTATGGAAATTGTGCTTACATTTTGACCTGCAAGGAAGGGGTTTGAGGTCTTGTTCCACAAGCTTAGCTTCTGATTCACTCCCAAACGAAAAAAAGAGGAAGCCTTCCTAAGCTATACCTTTTAATTATAGCATTCCGATCTTTGTTATTATGATATCTAATTTAGCACAGAAGATCTTTGGGGCACTGAAAGAATATATGGAGAGGAACTCAACTTGATAAATAAGGTATATGATTTTTTGGTGATAAATATGGGGACTAGCCAATGGGTTTTGGCTGCATTTGCAATGCTTAAAGGAATTAAATGGACCAGAAGTGAGAGATTTGCTTTAGTGGAATTGTTGCATGACATGGAAAATGGTTGTCAACTTAGAACTGGTTGATATCCTTTATATGAATATTATAAAGATGGACAATATCTCTTAATTTTACATCGGTAGTTTGCGCTGGATTCTAGTAATAGATTTAAATCCCTGTTTTGTTGTAAAGGTTGTATTTATAATCCTGGACCTAGTCATTGTTGTGCCTATTTGTACTTTCATCCTTAGATAAGCACCGTAAGCCCATGATCCTTCCACACTATGTTGAAATGCATTATACTACCATTAAGTTTTTAATTTGGTTGTCTTTTGAATGGCAGCCGATTGGGGTGGGCCAAACTGGAAGAAATTGAGTTCAAAAGAGCTCGGCATCACAACATCTATGATATCAGAACCTACAAGAGTAGTTCTAAATGGGCTGCGGAAGAGAGGTATGGAGTATGTGACCATGTACGCCTTGTCAAGGCTTTTCACTGCTAGAAAAATTTTCATCATTGTTCATTGCATCCTTTAATGCCTGAAGTTGCTGTTTATTTAACCTTACAAATGAAAATCATACTTATTGTTTTATTTTTATTACCAATGGATACTTTTGACAACAGAACACTTCAAATATATCTATTTATGGAGTACATGCTTCCACTTTATCACTTAGTAACTAGCATACCCACAAATGCCTTTGGATCACTCACATTAGAGCCATGCTTGTCATGTTGATAAGAAGTGGTCAAAGGAGCAAGTCGTCGAAGTTTGAGCCTCCCCCAAATTGTGAACAATCACCAGGGCCTGCATGGCATAGTGCTTTCTACCCAAATTTATTTCGAAAGATACCATGTGCCTACTGATCCCTATATTTGGTTATTGATATGGACCATTGAGTTTTAGTTTCACCTTTGTATCTTTTCTGATATCTCTAAAAAAAATTTGTATCTTTTCTGATAAGCAATCAAGTTATTCCATTGAAGAAAATGTATCAAACATCAATTTATCCCCAAACAGTGCAGATAAACAGCAAGGATAGTTTTTTGTTATTATTTTAATTTATTTTTGGTTTTTTGGTGGGTGGGTGGATGGTAGGGGAGGGGCTACAGAACAACCAAGAGAGTATTAACACCATCCTCCATGGTAAGGGATTGACTTCCAACTATCAAGAAAGCACTTGGAGGATGGTCCCGCTTCTCCTGAACCTGGTGCCTCTAACCAGTGTTCATAGTAGCCTTGTCAGTCATCATTGCTCTACCCCTTAATAAGGTGATTCATGTCCTTCCTACCTATTTAGCTATAATTTTCTGCAACATACCCTTTATATTTGATGACTTTCTCGTATGCTCTTAGTTTCATTCTTCTAGAATATGAATCATCCTCTAAGTAGTTCTCCATCTACTGAGAAAGTGTATAAATTACAAGGACCCCCCCCTCCCCCCCATAAATCAATGAACGTGCTAGTTTTTTTGAAATATCATTATGCTTCAAATGGTCTGCTGTCAAAATGTTTTCTTTCTTCTGCAAGCTAGAGAGGCAACATGGTGAACCCTGGAGAATGGCCTGTACACCCAATACCTTATGGTTTTGATAGCCAAGATGTTTCATTGAATTCTATCAATTGAATATACAAAGCTTAGTTTGTTTTATACAAAACCAGGTTTAAAATCCTCGACTCAATGGACTCAAAAATTGGATGCTGCATTGAGTGTGTGCTATATGCTCTATGGTGGTCATTGTGCCTAGGATAAAGTCACCATACTTAGTGGCTTTCCTTTTCCTTGTCTTGCAAGCACATCTGCCTCCTCATTTTCCTCACGCATCACATAATGTACGGCAGCTTGTAATGGTTCTGAGTAAATCATCTGGATCCTGACCCCTATGGTTCCTTGCAATGCCTTCAACACCTGCAGGCTCAGAGTTCCCATTAGAGCTTCCATCGAAGTTCGTTTTCAGTACATTGTTAGGCAGCTGCTGCTTTCAAAAGCTTGCTGTTGGGGTCTACTTCACTTCTCAAAAATGACCCAAATGATTGTGAAAATCGATTGCTGAATATCCCCAAAAGTCCTTTGATCTCGTCCTTGAGTTCGTTGTGGCCTTGAGTTCTTCTATCAACAAGGCGCCCCTTTCTCTTGGTCTTTAAAGAGTTTGTTTTTCCTTACGAACAAAATAACCAATAAAACAGCATGGCAGTTATTCTCTATAAATCAAGACCAGGCTTTGATACTGGTGGTGTGTACCATTGCGCCAGCAAGGTATCACAGTGGGCTCAACGCAGGTGAATCCAAAAAGATTGTGTGAAAGACCATGCTGGTCTTGCACAATGCAGAAACAGGTGCTCCACAGTTCTGCATCACACTTGCATATCAAACGAATATTCTGGATAGGCATACCTCTTCTATTTAAGTCGATGGTTAGTGCCTTCTCAAGATGCCTTCTCGAGAGTCACCATCCATGCAAATACCTGAATCTTCAGTGGTCCAGGTATTGACCATACTTAGCTAGCTAGCTGTCTCCTTTGGTGCATCTTGTGAGGATTTTATAGATGTATTTAATGGAAAAAACACCTTCATTATTTAGTAGCCAGATCAATTTGTCGTCTCTATATGGCTTGAAAAAGTAAACTTTGAGTTCATCTAACATCTTCGTGGAGTCCTTTTCTTCTTCCTTCTTCAGTGTTTGTCTAGGACCTGGACTCCAGGTTATTTGATGCCCATTGCCTGCTGCACATTCTGCCACTGTGGCTGAAGGGTGAGTTGCCAGGAAAACAGTTTAGTGTGGCGTTCTTTTAGGGGCTGGTCACCACCCCACCTATCAATCCAAAACCTAGCAATTCTCCCATTGCCCACTGGTAACCTAGCATTGATTACCAATTTACTTCTGCAATTATTGATCCCATTCCACACGCTGATAGCTGGGGTTTACTGCAGACACTTTTAACTAAACAGCCAAACTCCTCTTTTCCATATTTTTTTACAATCACATTGTTCTAGAGGTCTACATCAAAGGTCAGCATTGAGCCCATACCTCTTTGTTTTAGTTGTGGATGACTTAACTAGGCACCTAGATGATGAGGTTCTATGGTGCATATTGTTTGTAGATGATATAGTTTTGATCAATGAGACCTGAAACGGCGTCAACACAAAGTTAGAATTTTGGAGGGATGTTCTAGAATCTAAAGGTTTCGAAATTAGTCGGAGTAAGACAGTATATGGAATGCGAGTTTAGTAATAATAGGAGTAGAGAGGAGGAAGTTGTTAAGATTAACGGCCAGGAAATACCAAAAAGAGTGCACTTTCGGTATCTTGGGTCAATAATCCAGAAAAATGGAGAGATTGGGGAAGATGTCGCACATAGAATTAGAGTTGGGTAGGCGAAGTGGAGATGTGCTTCTAGAATTTTATATAATCACCTCATACCGATGAAGCTGAAGGGCAAGTTCTATAGGACAGCTGCGAGACCAGCTTTGCTCTATGGGGCAAAATGCTGGTGGTCAAAAAAAATATACTCATAGAATGAGTGTAGTGGAGATGAGGATGGATGAGTGGCAGGACAAGAAGGGATAGAATTCGAAATGAATATATTCAGGAAAATTTAGGTGTGGCACCAATAGGCGATAAGATGAGAGAGAGTAGACTTAAGTGGCTGGCCATGTATGATGCAGACCTAGTACAACACCTGCTAGAAGGTGCGAGTTAGTTCAATTGGAAGGCTCAAAAAGGGCAAGGAGTAGGCCCAAAAGAACATGGTTGGAAGTCGTGAGAAAAGATATGGAAACTTATAGCCTCACTGAGGGTATGACCCTTAATAGAGCAGAATGGTAGACCAGGATTCATGTAACCGACCCCAATTAATTGATTAAAGGCTTTGACAATGATGATGATTGTTGTAAAGGTGCTTTGATTATATATCAAGCTCCACCACCATTTAGATAGGCGGTGCTTGTTTATCTATTTTATCCTCCTTTCATTTTTCACTTGGGCTTGCACTTGCATATGTTCTCCCCCATCTGAACAAGTGATCTCATGCTTCTCTGTGGATCCTTCCTACGTAAATTCTTTCACCATTTTTTCGATTTCGTTCACCACTAGTACGAAGATTTGGAATTACATGTAGTATGTGGGTAAATTGCACAGTGTGGATTTGAGCAAGGTTGTTCCGCCACCTAGTGAGAAGTACCTAGCCTTTCAAGAGTTCAGTTTTTCTGAAACTTTTCTATGCCCCCCCCCCCAAAAAACATGGTTTTAGCCAGTTTACCCTTACAAAGTGGTAGGCCAAGATATTTGTTTTGTAAGTTGTTGATCCTACATCCAATGCCTTTTCTTGGACTAACACCCTATTGATTGAGTTTTTAGCATATTGCCAGTTTTGACTGAAGCTACCTTGAAACATCTGAGGTAGCGGTGAACATTTTTCATCTGCTCTTTGCTTGCATCATAAAAGAGCAATGTATCGCTGTAGGGCCTCTCGCTGAAATCATAAACCCTTTTAGAAGTCCATTCTCTTATACCCCTCTAACATGCAACGGAAGGTCTCACGCCTATGATTGTGAACATAAAGGGGGATGATGGGTCTCCCTGTAGCAACCCTTTGAGCTTTGAAAGTGTCCTTTTGAAGACCCATTAATTAAGATCAAGAATCGCGTTCTCTACAAATACCTGAGTATCCATCCTCTCCATTTATCTCCAAAGCCAATATTCATCCATAATTGTCTAATCTACCCCATCATATGATTTCTCAAGGTCCAATTTACAAATGAGCCCAGTCCCAGAGCATTTTATCTCAGTAACTTTACTGAATGCATTGGCTAGCAAAGCTCCTTCTAACACCTGCATGTCCTTTACAAAAGCAGTTTATGGTTCAGAAATTTCTTTGCCTAACACTTCTCTCAGATTCCCTGCTAGGACTTTGGCCGAAATTTTTTTAAGCCTTGCCCAGTGGGCTTATGGGCCTGAAATCTTTGAGGTATTCTGCTCTTCCTTTCTTTGGAATTATTATATGATGAAAAGAACATATATTGCGCTCTCCCCTTTATCAATTTGGAAAAACTCTTCTTCCTTTAACATTTCCCTGAACTCTTATAGAAGTGCTAGGCAAAATCCATCTGGGCCCCAAACTATATCTCCGCAAAACAAAGATAGCGCATCTTATTTCTTTCTCATCAAATGTTCTCTCCTGCCATACTCTGCTTTCCTCTGATAACTTGCAAAAAGGTACGTTAGCCATTGACAATCTCAGTCTACACTCTGTTGTGAAAGACTTCTTGTAGAAATCTACAATGGTATTTTCAGGTTCCTCTGTATTCAGGAAACTCTTACCCGAAACTGCGATGCTTTGAATGAGATCACATTGCCTTTTATTATATGTGACAGCATGAAGAAAACTAGTGTTTTTTGTTACCCTCCTTTAAACACTTGGTCCTTGATCCCTGATGCCAAAAGATCTCCTC